AGTCTACCACACGAGGTCTCTGCTGCTCTGAAGATCACCGTCTCCTAACACGGGATCCACACCTCTTCTTCCAGAATCAGTTTCCTCATAAAATGAGCTGAAACCATTAAAACTCAGTCAAGTATTAGTCACCTCAGACTAGTTAACGCCTTTTAAACAGGCTACATGATTAACTCTTACCAGAAGGACAGAATTGAGTATCTCGGTGTTAAGGGGCGACTCATCGATGCGTCGATGGCGGCGAATGTGCTTCCGGGCACTGTGCACCATGTTGGAGACGGACAGTTTGGAAATGGGCACAGTCGCTGCTGGCTCGGTCAGCTTGGACAAAGCAGAGCTGATATCACTGTTTTCTACAGATGACAAACACATCCAAGAGTTTCTGTTCAATGACTGAGGGTCAGCACAGATGCCCAGATCTCCCAGTAAGCTGCGCACGTTTCCAGTATGGTCACTCAGCAAGTAAAGCCAAGAACCTGACCTTTGCCCTCATCTTCAGCGTATCCTCTTGCAGGGATCTCCTCTGTGGACTCCATCCTACAGCAGAGTTTAAAGAGCTCTGTCACAGCCTCACCTGCAGGGAACCAAAACAGTTATTCAAACTTTTCATAAAGCTTCAGCACAGCGAAGCAGCACATCTGTGTAACGTTTGCTAAATCATGGACGTGGCAACAAAAGAAAAGTCCACTTTACATCACATGCAAAGTGGACTTTACATGTGATGTAAAGTCCACTTTGCATGTGATGTAAAGTGCTTGGGGCTGTCATGAGAGGCGGGGCCCACCCTGGACAGGTCGCCAGTCTGTCGCAGGGCAAACACAGACACAGACGTTCACACCGTGGGAAATTTAGAGCCCCAATGAAGCTGTCCCCACTAACTGCATGTCTTTGGACTGTGGGAGGAAGTGGGGGGCCCACACAGAGAACAATGAGGAGAAAAGACACTTTATTTGTCCTTTACTGTGTTCTCTCTATCGGTAGCTGGATTACATCCATCTTATCTGCTGCGTATCATTTGATGCATGAATTTTAGCCTCTTGGCTTAGAAATAGTTTCCTCTGTGCTGTTTGGACAAAAAACAAAGCCATAAAAAGTCTTCACACATCACACAACAATGTGTATGTTTGTATCCAAGTGTATTAGTAACCAGAAAAATACTACATTAAGGTCAGTGCACTTTAGCATTTCACAGCGGTGCGTTTGAAATCTGTACTGATAAAAACCTCTGTGGTCTGCCCCAAAGCATCATGGTCTCTGTCCCTGTGTCCCACTGACCAGTCTAACTTACCCAGTAAACACTGAGGATTTTCAGCCGTCCTGACTCGAACTGACCAGTGAGGAGCTTGAAGAGGGTCGAGGTCACTGTTGGGTGATAAACAGAGTAAACAGCTGATACACTTTTAGTTAAAGGCTTTTATAAGTGATGAGTCATGTTTGTGACGTAGTCCTTCACCAGTAATCAAGATAATTACACATGTAAGCATTTCCTTACATCACACTCAGTTTGTCCCTTCATGCACAAGCTTGTTCGACCTGTGCCAGCTCTGTTTGGGCCTTACAGTCACACCCATGTACGTTTACCCTTTTTTTTTTCTTTCTTTCTTTTTTTTTTTTTTCTGCCTGTCCCATTTGGTTCTTTAGCCGTCAGAATTGTTGTCTGAAGACCAACAAGGATACCCAATGGATTTATTTTGCCAAATGGATCATCATGGCATTGCCGTATTGGTCCATTTGATCGACCTTTGTTTTTATTATTTATTTTATTTTATTTTCAGTTGTTACAGACGGGACAGACATGAGTGAGCGATAGGAAAGG